TGAACTCCTTTTCTCTTTCCCTGCAGCCTCCATCTCATTCATTCAGTTCTTTCCTATTCATTGAGAACTCAGATGCACTCCATTCCTCAGGGAGACCCTCCTTCAACCTAGCCTGTCCCCACTTCTCTCCCATGTCTCCAATCACCTGGCTTGGTAGTATTTCCATCTGTCTTCAGTTGTCTGATTATTCCATTCACATCTCTCCCCAGCCAGTCTCTCAGACATAGGAGGGTGGGGCCTGAATTTGTTTATTTGCAGGTCCCCAGAACCTTCACTGGCCATAGAGAGAGATGGGAGGTATCAGGAAGGTCATATCTGGGCTACAACAGCCAACAGCACTGGTTGAAACCCGCCTCACCCTGGCCCTGGGCCCCCCAGCACCCTCCTGCTGCCAGCTGTACATTCTAGAACTTAGATGAGGTTGGAGAATGACCTGGATCACAGTGAGTCTCAGGCAGCTTCTGATAGAAAGAAATGCCCCAGTGAAAAAGTGTCTACACTATGGGAAGAGCCAAAGGTGAGGCCTCCTGTGTCATGTCAGTGGCGCTATTAACAGGAAGAGGTTCCACGGGGTGTTGCTTAACTAGCTCTTTCTCGCTTATACCTCTTACACACCCTCTAAGGCCTTCTTTCTTGTTACTCACTTAACATGCTTTGTTGGATCTAAAGATCTAKCAAAGGATGTAGCAGGTAAAATTATTTTTATACTTCTGGGTATTTATTAAAATGTGTGTTTTATGGTTTTCAGCAAATGTCAACTAACAGTTACTGCTGTGAATAGAAAGTTCATCCCAGTTTTATGTAGTGTAAATGGAGAGGTATTAATCTCATRTAAAATGAAAGAACACAAGTAATACCATTGTACACTGGTAGGTCTTAGAGAAATTAAAGATATAGGACACAAAGAACCTGACACCTTGAAAGTAACTCTACCACTGGGTATCAGCTCCTAGAGAAATAATATGTGGAAATAAGTCTTTACTTGTACTGGTAAATGTCATTTGTTGTTATTAAATAAAATCTTGTTTTAGTCTGCAAAGATATAACCAGTGGAAATGTTGATACTCATGTGCTGTCAGGAGATCACTTTTATCTTCTGGAACTTGACAAGGAAAACTTCTTCAAGAACTACATAACCAAGTGTCTAGAACTATCATTGCTTGCCAACTTTTAGGCATTTTTCCTTTTGGCCTTACAATAGTCTTYTTGTTTATACAGATGCAGCTCGGCAGTTTTAGAGATTGGTAGTCACACATTTTCTACTGTCAGGGTGATTTACTACATATGAATAAATGTATTTCTCCATGGATTATTTATGTATCTGTGGATGAAAGGCAAATAGGTAAGGAACACTTCTGGCAGAGTCCTTTACCTTTCTATTAGAATTTCTACTTAATGCTCATTTGTGGAAAGTTGGTCAACAAAATTAATGCTTGGTAAAAAATTATTTTTCCTTCAATATTTTTTCCAGTTATGGAAATTAAAACTAGGGCCTTGTGCATGCCAGGCAAGTGTTCTGTTACTGAGATATACCCCCCACCAGCCCTCCTCAGTTATTTTACTGGTGAAAATGGATGATGGGGGAAATGCTTGGAATTATTATCCCTGGACCCTGAACTCTCTCAATTCCCAAACTAGTTCCTCTCTTCAAGGCCTGACTAATGCAGTCAGGCCCCTCCCCACTGCCCATTTCCTTCTTTCCATCACACCTTTACAGTAAATTCTACTAACTTAATGGGACTGATATCTTTTCCTTACAGCCCACACTACTTAACATAATACTAATTATTAAAATGTTAACTTTTAAAGCATCTACTTGTTTACAATCACATAACATGAGCTCATTCTTTCTTGCTATTTTATTTTTTTAATATTTTTTTAGTGTTGATGGACTTTTATTTTATTCATTTATTTATATGTGGTGCTGAGAATTGAACCCAGTGCCTCACACGTGTGAGGCAAGCACTCTACCATTGAGCCACAACTCCAGCCCCCTCTCTTGCTATTTTAAAATAATATAAGTAGAACCTTTTAATTTTTTTTACAGTTATAGATGGACAGAATTCCTTTATTTTATTTGTTTATTTTTATATTGGTGCTAAGGATTGAACCCAGTGCCTCACACATGCTACGAAAGCACTCTGCCACTGAGCCCCAGCCCCAGCCCCGTAGGTAGGGTCTTAATAAATAAGATTAAGAAAAATGCACACAGGAGAATTTCCCAGACCCTTTTTAACAAKTACAAATAATATAAAATTCATTACAAGAGAGAGTTAGAATTCACATAATAAACTTAGGCTAGAAACAACCTCAAGTAAATTATGTTAAATGTTTAGTATATACTGTACTACCCTTTAGTCTGATGCAATTTCCAGAGCCCCCTTACTAAAAGATTAGTCCAAAAGTAATGTGGGCTGGGCACAATGGCACATGCCTAAAATCCCAGGGACTTGAAGGCTAAGGCAGGAGGATTGCAAGTTTGAGGCCAGCCTCAACAATTTAGCAAGGTCCTAAGCAACTAAGCAAGACCCTCTCTCAAAATGAAAAATAAAAAGAGCTCAGTATAAGTGCTGCTGGGTTCAATCCCTGGTACCAAAAAAAAAAAAAAAAAAAAAAAAAAGTAATTTAGATTTGTGATTATAATTTGAAAAACACTTTAGTCAACATAGTTTGTAATCATGAGTCTCATAATGTAGCAAATGCCAGGGCTTGGGGGTGGGCTTTTTCTGCTGCCCCTCCACTTGGTGGAGGGAAAGTCCAGTAGGGAACAGCTCTGACTTTCCAGGCTTTCAATTACAACCAGGCCTAACATTGCTAGTGTCTTATCTTTGAAGGACTTGGGCCTTGACCTCATTATGGAAAACTTCTGGGTTTAGGTAAAACTTAGCAAAGATGAGAATCATTTTTGCTTTCACAAAATTTACAAATAAGCAATCAATCTTGATTTTTTTAATTCAGTTTTTTTCAAGGCAACTCTAGATTCCCAGGTAATTTTAATAAATAATTTAGAAATACTATTAAGTGAGTAAAGTGTGCTATATGCATGAACAAATATGCTGCAAAGAAACCTATTATGCTGTATAACTAGTGTGCACTAATAAAATAATCCCCCCCATTAATACTGTGCAAAACTATAGTAAATATTACAACCAGAATATTGACATTTTGACAGTCAAGAGACAAAACATTCCAACACTACAGGACCCTCCTGTTGCCCTGTGATACCCACACATACCTCTTTCCTCTCTGTAAACTACAATTCTGTTCTTAAGTATTTTTTTAGTCATAAATGAATACATTTATTTATTTATTTATTTATTTATTTGTATGTGGTACTAAAGATCAAACCCAGTGCCTCACATGTGTTAGGCATGTGCTTTATCACTGATCCACAACCCCAACCCCTGGAAACCACAATTCTGTCCTTTATATGTATAACTTGCCACTTCAAGAATTTCACCTAAATAGGATTATACAGCACATAATATTTTGGTATTACTGTTTATACTCAGCTTAATTCCCTGGAAATTCATCTAGTGGATCAAGAGGTTTTTACTTTGTTCTGTTTGTTAGATAAAATGAAGCCAATCTATCCATCTGGTAATGGTAATTCCATATCAAACCTGAATTCTTTTTTTGCGGGGGGGGGGGKGTTTTGTTTTGTTTTTGTGGTGCTGGATAGAACCCTGGGCCTCACACATGCCAGACAAGCGCTCCACCACTGAGCTGTATCTTGATCCCCTAAACCTGAGCTCTTAGGCAGGAAACAGAGATATACTCTTTGGGGGAATGTTTATCTCATGGAATCTCAAACAAGTTTTCTTCTTTCTCTTTTCTTGCAGCAGTACTGAGGATCAGGCGCAGGACCTCAAACATTCTAGGCAATGCTCTACCACTGAGCTACATCACCAGCCCTTTTTATTTTTTGAGGCAGGGTCTCACTAAATTGCTCAGGTTGAACTCAAACTTGTGATCCTCCTGCCTCAGCTTCCTGAGTAGCTGTGAGAACAGGTGTATCTTACCACATCCAGCTTTCAAAGATCCTGTGAACCAACAAGAAATACTGAGTACTGTGGGTCAACATCATTCCAGACTCTACATTTTCACTCCAACAAAACTGATCTCAAGGGGCATAGATCACTAGATACATTTTAGTTTGATTCTTTTATGTTTTAAAGGTAAAAATTAAAAATTTTCACAGTGGCTTTTTTCCTTCTTTGAGGAGCTAAAAACAGACTTATAAATTTCTTCCTTCCTGGTTTGTTTGTGGTGCTGGGGATGGAACCCTGGGACTCATGCACATTAGGCATCTACCACTGAGTGAGCTATACCCCCGGGGGGCCCACAAGGGTGGACTTGAAATTGTAATCCTTCTTCCTCAGCCTCCCAAGAAGCTAGGATTACAGATGTGCAACACTGCACCCGGCTGCTGTTGATTCTTAATAAACTGTTTTTATTACCCCAGTAGCACTCCCTCAATATTGAGAATAGATTCATCAAAAGAGCAAATAATCATGGGCTGGGGTTGTAGCTCAGTGTAGCACATAAGAGGCCATGGGTTTGATCTTCAGCACCACATAAAAATAAATAAATAAAATAAATGTATGTGTCCAACTAAAACTAAAAAATAAATAAATTTTAAAAAGAGCAAATAATCAAAGTTTTGGTATACAGGTAGGACTGTAGCTCAGTGGTAGAGTGCTTGCCTAGCATGCCTGAACCCTGGGTTTGAACCAATACTACCAAAAAAAAAAAAAAAAAAAAAGTTTGGTATACGTACTCCAGAGCAATGATTTTTTTAAAAGAACCTTTAAAGTTACCTGGTTTAAGCCAGTGAAATTTAGTTAACTGTGCATTTTCATCATACTCCTAAATATTATAAATCTTGCTCATAGCCAAAATATCTGTGGTCCAGTGTTAACAGTGCATTTCCCACTAAATGTAAGGTCAAGATACCATTATGAAGACTTCAGAAGGAGCACATTCTCATCTATTGCACTCTAAATTCCATATTTTTCRATCAGCTCTTTTGCTTTAGAAATATAGGCACTCATGGCATCCTCCTTGGACAACCCTAGAAAGACACAAACAGATCCCATCACCTCCCTGGTTGGTGCAGTGGGAGAGTAAGAAGTACGAAGGCTGACTTGAAATCTGTTGAAGAATTAAAACCTTTTTGGAGGCTCCATGCTTCCCACTTCGCCCTGCCTTTGACATCCAACAGTGCTGGACATACTGCAAAAGAAGCAAAGAGAGATTGTCAAGTTGACTTCTTACTGCACACTTTCACAAACACTAAGTATGTCCTTACATTTTAAAAGGATAATATAATACCGATATCAATGTCTCCAATGACAGCTTGCTTGTAAAGGCCATAGATTTCCTTCAATTCTTCATCCTCCGGTCTTGCTTTCAGCTTCTTCACATCTTCTGTGGCCCTGTCAAAATCTGCCTAAAGCCAAATAAAATAAAATAACACAAAAACAAAGCAAAGAAAAAGGCACACAGTGCATGGGCTAATGTTAGGAAGGCCCATTGCACTTTGGGAGTGTTGACCACCAAGGAATGGGACTCGAGAGGAGAGGAGAGGGAGGGGGTCAAATAGAAATGAGCTATTGCTGCTCAGTTTCCACCAGAATTATCCTAATTTATTGGGACTCATGGACACTTTACCTGATATATAGACAAAGTATGGATAACTAAATAAGATTCATGACATTGAAAAGGATCAATTTATGTATTTTAAAGGGCACCACAATCAGTGCAGCTTTCTGGATCATCTTATGAACACCACTGTCCTCTCCTAGGTCCAGGACATTCCTCTGGCAGTGTCCACACTCTTCAGTGACAGTAGCTTTTTACTTATCTAATGTATTAACTTGGTTCTGAGGGCAATCAATACCATTGATTTAGTTGGATTTCTCATAGAGTTTCAATACAGAAACCCCAGATTAAAAGACTTAATATGAACTAATGTCCAGAAAAGAGAAGTTGTTTGGCAACATAAAGCTGATCAGCAAACTGAGCACACAAATACACTTGAGTGGGAAACTGTCTGCACCATCCTGAATTCTCTCCGAAAAACCTAGTCTCTCTGTGTGAGTCAACTTCCTGTCACTAGAACACACACTGGAGATAAGTTAAATTATAAAGAGGAAAGGTTTATTTGKGTCCACAGTTCTATTAAGCCCACAAGTGACTGGCTCCATGGCTTTGGGCCAGTGGCAAAGTAGCATATCATGGCAGCAGTTCATGGTGAATCAAGACTACTTTACTCATGGCTGAGAACAAAAGAGAGGAAGGAGGAAGGKGTAAGGCCCACAGTCCACATCAAGATCATGCCCCTAATGACTTGGAGCCTTCCCACTAGCCTCCTCCTCTTTTTAAAAAGTTTTGCCATCCCCCAATAGTGTCATGTATAGGTATATTATACCATAGGATTGGTCCCCCTCTGAGGGACATTCCAGACCCTAAATATAGCACTTCCTACCTCCCAAGGCCTTTAGCTCTTAGACCAGGACAGCAGCTGCTCTCTTGGTAGCTTCCACTCAGGGAGGAAGTCCAGCTCTACCTGCCCTAGAGTCTGAGCACTCCTGGACACTTCATCTCTTAGCTGATTATTTTTCTTATTAGAATATCTTATTCTTTTTAATAAACTGTATCTACCTTGTGGCATTTGCTTTAAGTTGGGGGTAAGCAGGAATCGTCAGTAGCCTGGGTATCAAATTAGGGAAGGTGAACATCCATCCGCCTTATATTATTCCTCCGATGTCAGTGTTCCCTTTTGGTTCAAAGGCCTGGGAGAGAAAGTGAAGAGAAAGCCCCACTGTAAGCTTAGAAGCCTATGAGCTCAGCAGTGTTGCTGGGTAAAGCCAGCCCCAAAGACGGGGCAGTAGCACAGCCAGAATTGTTTTATGATGAACATGAGTCATCTWTAAATTGGAGACCAGGGTTTTCAGGCTAAATAACCTTGAAAATGGCCCTGCTTCCTAACAGATTTCTATAGGAAATTGAGAAGGATGTGTGCATGTGAGAAAGTTGCCTTATCCTTCAAGAAAACTCAGTTGCTGAGTTGGTTAAGGACATGGTTAAGGACACAGGCTTTGGGTTGATATTCATTGTTATTACTAAAGAGCTGGGTTACCTAGGGCAAGTTACTTAACCTGTGTCTGTTTCTTCATCTGGAATATGAGACAATAACAACACTTAAAATTGTTAGGAGAACTTAAATAAGTTAACACATGTAAAGTACTCAAGAGAATGCCTGGCAGATGGTGATTATTCAATAAGGGTCAGCTATTATTAGTTGTATTAAAAGGCTCGTTGGAGGAGTGGGTTTAAAAAGAAGCTCTTGATAAAAGCACAATTATGAAGACATGAAAAACACTTTTAGCTTATCATTAAGCAAAGAACACAAAATTGTTTCAATATACTCAGCTTTGAAAGTTATGTAGAAAAAATAARACTATAAATAAATATACTAAAATAGGTAAACAGTAATTGCCTCTGACTATTGGTAGGTTTTCTGGGTTTTTAAAACTTCTGTAGTCTCCAAATTTTTCATAACATGCATGTAGTGCATGTACAAGGAAAACAAAACAATTGCTGCATGAGTGATCAGGGCTCCAAAGGACAAGCCAGGCCAGGTGACTGAGGGTCAAGGATGCTTCTCTTCAGGTGTATCAGCATCTCAGAGGTTCTGTGCTATGAATATTCATGCTATTCTCCAGTGACACCAACTCAATTCCTTTTGGCCAGCCAACCCTTGATTAATATTCTAAGGTTTCTAAAAAAGCATGCAAGCCCCCTGTCTTGCATGAAAAAGTTTCTGGGAACTTATTCTTCATATTCTGGGGGCTACAGAACCACAAAAAGGTCTAGTGAACATCTTGGACCCCTTCCATGCTGACCCTGACATGCTGTCCCATGCCATTTCAGCAGTCCCCATCTGTCCCTCCTCCCTCCCCAGGTAGGGAACACTGCCCAGAATTCCTCTGTATGCAGCCTGCCTCCCCCGGCACCTCTATTTGAACTGTTCCTACTTTAGGGTGCTATTCCACTGTCCCTTTCACCATGATGCCTCTCCCTCCCCAACTGCAGTAAGCAGCAATGGAGATAATACTGGACTTGCACAGCATACTCAAGATTTCTATTCTACCTTTGAGGCACACTGCTGTGGGGCTCTGCAARACACCAAGCTCCTCTGAGGTACAGCTTTGGAGAAAAAAAAAAAGGTACTACAGGGTGGACATCCATAATCTGAAAATATAAAACCTGAAAAGYTTCCAGGTTAGAACTTTTGGAGTGCTGATAAGAAAGTTTCTCACTTACTACCATGAGCACATTCAAAACACAGGTACACTAAAAATACATAAAATGACCTCCAGGCTGTGTGTGTACGGCATTCACATATAAAACATGAGTTTCATGTTTAGACTTGAATTCCATCCCCAAGATATCTCATTCTGTTTACTGAAATATTCCAAAATCTGAAATGCTTTTGGTCCAAAGTAGTTCAGATAAAGGAAAACCAACTTTTATGAGTCTCAGCAGGAAGGTGTGAGGACTAAACCCAATCAGAAATGTAAATATTAGATGATTTGATTCTGTGGACTCTTCCCTCACAGAGCTCATCACTGGTACCATGCCAATCAACAGTACGCTGAACACCTAGGACGGGTCTGGCCTATGCTAGGCAGGCAGTGACAAGCCGACAGTCTGCTTGAAGGAGCTGAGAATCCAGAGGGAGACATGCAGGGCAACAGTGACCTTGTGAGACTTGCTATAAAGGAGGAGCAGGTTGCTCTGAGACTGGAGGAGGGAGTGGCAGCCCAGAGGGGATGGCCATCTAGAAGCCTTCCCAGAGGGATGAGCCGGGAGAAGGTGGTTAGTGTTAGCTGAGTAGACAGGGGCGACAAAGCTACTCCAGACAGCATGGACAGAATTTACCAGTGCTCAGCACAAAGGACGGGTGGACTTGCTTTGGTTTGTTCCATCACATACATAATGGAGTGCAGGCATAAACACGCACCTTGGTGGCCACAGCTGAGCTTCACACACTGCCAGCAGGTGACAAAGGCAGGTCTGAGTCCAGTCCATATATCCTTCTTGGATGAATTAAAGAGTGACTGGATATTAGGAAGATCACAAAGTTATAAAGGTGAGACACAGCTTTAATCTCTTTTTAAAAAATACACAGTCTCACTAAGTTGCCCAAACTGGCCTCAAACTTACAAAATCCTGCCTCAGTCTCCCAAGTCACTGGATTATGGGCTGCACCACATTTCACCCTAGCTGAAGACAGCCTTGAAGGATAACTCACACTTAATTCAACTTCACTTTCTGCAACCAAAGCACATGGGCATCTCACATGTGACTTTGATAAAACCTTTTTGAACCATTCATTCCCATGAGGAACTGAATCAGGTAGATAAGAACTCCTCACAAAGTAATTTCACAGATCTTAATAACACATACATGTGGGGAAGAAGAGTTAGTTAGTTGCTGAATGTAAAATCACAAATCCTCCTAGACTTGAAAAGATGTACCTCCTTGAAGGGACAGTTTGCTATTTTTAGCTTCACCATGTAGGAATGAAATATGTCCAGTTCAGATGACTTCAGCCCTCCTAAAGCTCTGCTTAGGGAGTAAACACACTGTAATTTAAAAATAAAACTGGGGGATCATAGCTGAGTTAGGAATTCCATTTATCTTGTTGCTTCCAGGAGTGTCAGCCACTTCTGTTTATTCTAGCATAAAACTTAGAAGATTGGGGCTCCTATGCTTGCGCCCCTTCTTCTCATTTCTACTGAGTGAGTCACTGATAGCATCTTGGTGCAACACAAGTGCCAGTGCAATGTCTGCCATAATGCCAGTTAGGTTATGAAGGCTTAAATATATGAGCTAGTTGTTCGTCTTTTAATTTTTATTTTTATTAGTATTTTGAGACCTTTTTTGAAATTATTTTAGATTTAGGTAAAAGTTATAAAACTAGTATGATTTCAGTGTACCTTGTACTCAGTGTCCCTGCTGTCTTTTTAAAATGGTATTTTCTCCAATATTCTGAGTACTCAAGTGAATTGTTAGTAGATAACATTATGGTGGGTGCTATTAATATTTATTAGCCTGTTGCTCTTCTGTAATGTTCCTCAATCTTTACACCCTTACTGAAAATATTTTTAAAGCAACAGAGAGAAAAAAATAGATATTAAAAACCCAGTTAACAACAATAGTGAAAAACCATATTACTAAGCTAAATAACAATCATTTAGATCTTTTGATTTGAAGGAAGTTTTGATTATTTGGGGAAAAGTTCAGTATGACTTAAGTTATCTAATGAGCTTATTCTTATTGCACATTTATCCTCTACCAGGCACTGTTAAATGCTGTACCTGCAGCTCATTTAACAGTTATTTGTCCACCATTTCTAAATGAGAAGGCTGAGGCACAGAGATTAACTGTATCACTTACAAAGTGGGTGACAGGGCATGGGTATGAACCTCCATGACTCTCCATGGTGTCCTTAACCCACCCATAACATCTTGCCTGAAGAAATGGTTTAAAAAATTAGTTTTGCTTATTCTATGAAATTTTATGCATATAAACAATGTCACTTTAGAAGGATTTTAATGATAAGAAAATGCTCACAATACTAGGTATAGAAACAAAACTGCATATACACAATTACATAAGTGTGTGCACTCATATTGCACACACGCACTTGGAAGACTACAAAGGAGTCACCTGTCACGTTTAGCAGTGGTTATTGCCCCCGTGAAGGAGATCCTGATGATGCTTATTTATTTTATTTGTTCTCTTTCCCTAAGTTTTCTACTTCTAACATATCAATAAAACAGTATTTTAGAGTCTCACAGAACTCTGCTGTTAAGAGAGACACTTGTCTATGAGAACCCAAGTAGGTCCCAACACGAAGGTTTCCCTCCATGGATGTCACCTCCCTCCTGAAAAGAGTGGCTGGAGGAGGGCTCACTTAGGCTCCCAGAAGCCTGTGCCTACTTTTCCGCTCAGGGTGGTTTAACCAGTGTCTGGGCCCCAGAAGGGTTGCCACGGGGAGCATGGCTTGTCATCAACAGGTGGAAAAGTGCAGTCTATCTGCAATAAGAAGGCGCTGGGGCAGGTGTGGGAGTGACCACAGACAGGATCGCTGTCCAGCGCTTTCAGGTGAGGGTGGCAGGCATGCCAGTCTCATGCCCCATTTAAGTGCTTCCCTCTCAGAGCATCCCCCACCTCCACCCAGCTCGGCCTCCCTATGTCCTGTGTTACCTGCAGAGACATAGTGACAAAGGCAAGGATGCTGCTGCTCTCCTGKCGCTCGGTGCCTGGGGAAGGCGGGGCCGCTCCTTAAAGGGCAGCTGTCCTCCGCCCACTGCTCCCATTGGCCGCGCTCGGAGCCCCGGAGGCTCCCATGGGTCAGGTGTTGAGAGGGCGGGGCTGGGCAGTAAGCAGCAAAGTCCCGYGGGGACCCAAAGACATCGCCGCTTCGCTGTCCGCTTCTCTGCGCTGGCCAGGAGGAGAGAAGGGCTCTCGAGAGAGTTCCTCTCTGCCGCTGGATCGCCCATTTTCTCTGAGGAGTTGTTTCCAGGAGACGCAGAGAAGCTTCCTCAGGGCGCGGATCTCACTTGGGATTCCTTCTTGATGGATACCTCTCTCCTCTCAATTTCTAGAAACCTRGGCCGTGGGTGGTGATTACTTGCGGCCTCTCACGTCTCCCCCAGCCACTCCCGTTCTCTCTGGGCGCTATTCACGAGTGAAAGAGGGCTGGGGTTTTGCCTTTTCTCTTCTGCAAAGCAAAAACATAATTTTGAGCACGGGCTGCAACATCCTCTTAATTATCTAACTTCCTCTTAATTATCGCAAAGGACTGCACGCTTGTTCCACCTGACCCAGTTTTCCAGGATCTATATATTCGACAGGAGAGAGGGAGGGACCGGGAGGGGGAGAGGAAGAGGGGGAGAGGGAGAGAGGAGGAGAAGGAGAGGGAAAGATTGGTTTCTATCACTGGATAATACACATACATACACATTTCTATTTAAAAGTGCTTCTCTACCAGTTCTGCTTATACTGCTTCAGGAAGAATTCTGTCAAAAAGGAAAAGAATGAATAAAAGAGACAAGAGAAAGAAAAGAGAAAAAAAGTCAGGTGCAATGATGTATGTCTGTGGTAACAGCAACTCAGGGAAGCTGAGACAGGAGGACTGCTAGAGACTAGGAATTTGAAGCCTGGAAAACAGCAAAACCTCATCTCAAAACAAAAACAAACAGCAATGATTAAACAAACAAACAAAAAAAACTTCCGTGCTAATCTAATTCATATAAATGTCTATACTTTAATTCTAAAATTTTAGGACTCATTTGTTCATTTCTATAACATTTTAAATAGTTAATTGTAGCCACTGTTATATTATGGGCATAATTTATTTCCAGCATTGATGCTGTTTCTTTATAATCTATGGAAAATGTAAAGTTCAGCATCACATCACATTATGCCTCTTCTTTCAAAAAAAAAAAGAAAGAAAGAAATATGCCTCTTCTTTCAAGAAAGAAAGAAAGAAAGAAAGAAAGAAAGAAAGAAAGAAAGAAAGAAAGAAAGAGAAAATTGTTATGGACCTAAGACTTCTCTTTAAAAATAAAGTTGCTTGAAAAAAAAAAAGAGAACAACATTCCAGATTAGGTTTGAGACTATATGATTTCAACGATCTTTCAAATTTCTATTTTTTTGAAGTTTAGGAGGTCAAGGTCAGTCTCAGCAACTTATCGAGGGCCTGTTCAAAATAAAAAATAAAAAAAGCTGGGGATGTACTTCCGTGTCAAATTGTTCCTGGGTTAGATCCCCAGTACCATCCTGTCCCTGCAAATTTCTCTTTTTTAATAAATAAGCTCTGCCAAGGACCAAGACAGCTTGAACATCTCAACACTGCCACACCTGCATGGGCTGGGTGCTCACTGAAGTGCTTTGTTATTTCTCCTGGAGCAAGGATTCTCTATCTTAAGACACCGTCCAAGGGTGTTTCTCATCTATTTCCCTGGTTTTAGTTGASATTAAATCTTTCTATTTCCTTGTAACTTCCCTCTGAACTTACTCCAACTTGCTGAAATTTAGAGTTAATTCCTCATTGCAGAGTCATTCACCATTTATAACACCTGTTATCTGACCTTTAGGATTAGGGATGTTGTCCCATGATATTAGGGGTACTGGGAGCTGACATCATGTTGATCATGGGTTTGCTATCCTGTAAGGATAATAAATGGCCTGAATCCAACAGACTCTTTTTCTCCCTACTGGTTTTATCTATGGATGGGCTGCGATGCTTTTGTCTAGAATTGCTGGAGTGCTTGAAACTCCTATTCACACTGCCTCCGTGGATGCAGATGTGCTTTAACATGTTATATAGTCCTAACTAGCAGGGCTCCCAATGGCTCAGACTCCAAGTCTGTTCTATGATTTTGCAGCTCATCCTTGACTATTCATAGCAACTGATTGAAAATGACTAGGGATTATATATGTAAGTGTTGTAACAATAACCCGCACAGAGCAAAGGCCAGAATGCCATGAAGAAAAAAAAAGAATCTGATGGTTTATTCTGTCACATTCTTCTACTGACACTTTCTTGCTGGGCTTCAAATGATTTTAAATAATGACCCAACTTAACACCCAGAATCTTAAATCACTGTTATATCATGGCAATTATATAAGTCTGACAAAAATCTAATTCTAGAATTCATATAAAAAGAAAGTTTTTTTATAAACTATTCAATGTTTTCATAAGTGATTCAAAGACTCAACTGATATTTTATAAGGTAAAATAACAGCTGTTCTTAAAAAAGTAAAACTGATCATGGAATACCAAACATGTAAATGTTAAAGTGGTCCCAGTAAGCCTATGTATGTTTGAGAAAGAGGATGTGGAAAAGAAACCAGTACACAAAATTTATATTATTATTTTTAGCATGCATTTATGTGAAATAAATTAGAAAGGAATATTGAAAGGAAAATGTTTGAGATGATTTGGTCATGAAAGTTCTTTGTTTGTTGTTGTTTTTTTTTTTACTTTTTTGTTGTAATGTTTGTGCTACACAAAAGGGAGAGAAATTAACCTTTGAAATATAGTTGTGCATTTTAACAAAATTCTTGTGGAAGTTGGATTGCTAGTCTTAAAACACAAGCACTAAACACATAGAGGCTACCTTTATTTTTTATAAATTTAATTTTGACAAGGTTGTCACTATTCAGTTTACCAAACACATACTATGTGCCAGGCACATTGCTAATCATCTTACAGAGATCAACTCCTCTAATCTTCACAATAGGTACTATTTTTATCACTTCATGGAGAAGGTTAATTTGCCTAGGGTCATATGGAGTTTGCATTTCAACCTAGTCAGCCTAGCTCCAGAGCCATGTAATGCAAGGGCTGATAATTTCCAATGGAGCACATGGAAGCTCAGATGATATTCAAAGTATAAAACTGGAATCTTAGGGATTTAAAACTGTTTACAAGGTTCCTTCCAGCACTCTAGTATTTCAATTAGACCTGTGTGTCTCCAGTTGTCTTTAGAATTGCATTGTGTTTACAGTTTACCATCATAAACGACTGATTCATTTTATGAAACAAAAGTCTGTCAATACACTCAAACTCACTGTAACCTTGTTCTYTCTAATTATGATAAATAATCACATCAGACTTTACTGTGTGTAATTTGCAAAAAAAATGCAATAATCTTTTTTTGTTTGTTTTGTTTTGTTCTAGGGGCTCAATCCAGGGGCACTTTACCACTGAGCCACATCCCAGCGCCCCTCCCACTTTTCTTTTTAATGCTTAATTTTTTTCTGTATTTTTTTTTTAGTTGATGATGAACCTTTATTTTATTTATTTATATGCCATGCTGAGAATTGAACCTAAGCAAGTGCTCTACCACTGAGCTACAAACCCAGCCCCGACCCCTTTATTTTTGAGACTGGATCTCGCTAAATTGTGGAGGGCCTCGCTAAAATGATAAGATTGACTTCCAATTTTCGATCCTCCAGCTTCAGCCTCCTGAGTCAGTGGGATTACAGGCGGGCGCCGCCACGCCTGACCTGCAATAATCTTGACCAAAAGTAACATTCTCTGTTTTACCTCGTTAAGTACTGCAGAGGTAATGAAAATATAGAAGCTAGATCCAAAAATGAGGACGAAAACGAGAAGTGAACAGGCTGAGAAAAGGAGGATAATCTGGAAAAGTGGACCCAAATTAGATGGGAAAAGAAAAAGGGAAGGCCGGGATTGTGGCTCAGTGGTAGAGCTCTTGCCTAGCATGCTTGAGGCACTGGGTTCGATCCCTGGCACCACATAAAAATAAACAAATAAAATGAAAGTATTGTGTCCATCTACAACTAAAAAAATATATTAAAAAGGGAATGTTGAGAGGAGGCATTATTGTCAAAAGCAACCTACCGACTTCTACGTTGCCCAGAATAGATCAGCAAATCCAGATTCCTGGCCTCTAACATGTTTTTCAGTTCTATAACCAATTGTCCACGACTTCCCAGCGACTCCATTCATAARCTAGTCTCCATTGGTTGRAACAGCCACAGAAGACCCGTGATGGAATACTGCTGACTGCTGTGTTGAACTCAAAGCAGGCCTAATTCCCCTTGACTTTCGGGGGATTCAAGAGTCCCTAGATTATTGCCTATAAGCTAGTGTTTTCCCCAACTCTCCAACTCCCCACCTACTTGATTTTCATAGTGCTGGGCATTCTGCAGGGATTCGATAGACAGTGGGAAATCGGACAGGAGCTGGGATTTTGCGTCTCTAGAGCAAAAAGAGAGGTCTAAGGCTCCAATATGCTGGAAGTTGAAATTGGGTTAGAAGGGAAGGGTGCCCAGGGAGAACCACTCCTGGGGACTATTGCCGGTACCCGGATCCCCAGAGGTGTCAGACAAGACGGTGAGTGGCAGTTACCGTGGCAACACTCACTGTCTCGCGAGACAGATGTTGCATCTGCGCACTGCAGCTTAGAGCGCTGCAGAAGCTTCACCCCGGGTCTTATATTCAGGACTTTTTTGTGTGTTTTTGTTTTAAACGATGGAGCCTTATTCTGTCGTTTCCTCGCGACGCTGTTGGGAGCGACCAAACGCAGGGTAACGGGTAAGGAAACTTGAAGAGCTCCGAGCTATTTCGCTCCATTCACTGCTCCCGGAAGGCGGGGCGGGGAAGGCAAGGACACTGCGCACGTGCGGCGCAGGCGCAGTGGTGCCGGCGCTGTGGCTGGCTGGTGGCGTGGAGTCGCGGT